TAAATGATTGGAGAGCGGTGGTTGCAGTAAGAAAAAGTGATCTTGAATCTCAGATACGGTGAAACAGAAGTTGGCCTGTAAGATTAATACTCAGCCTTTTAAATCAGTGTGTGAAGAATAAGTGAATGAAATTTGAATTTAAAATTGCGTATCTAAAATTGGCGTGCATGCCATTTATATAATTATATAATAGAGTGTTATAACAACCCACTATTATATAGGCATGGGATACATGGGGCCGTTGAATGTATCTTTGCCCTGGATTTTCCGCGCTCTTCCCTAGGGTAGTTCTCCTGTGTAGCAAACAATTGAGTAAATTTTTGCTTCCTCTGAGACGCAGCCGATGGTCGTTATGGTTGGCCCAGAACAAATTTTCCTAAGTCCTCGACTCTGCTTCGTAGTGTGAGAGTTTGTCGTATTTGCCTCGTTCGCATCAGTCATATATGATCTTAAGTGAATAGTTCAAGAGATGACATTACTTCTCTTGGAAATTTGTGCCTTTAGTGCGCCTCATGCTTCAAACGTCTTTGGGAACTTAAACAATCGAGTATCTTGATGAGGTGATCTGGAGCGTTGATAGGGTTTATTAAATTTAGTAAGTCATCATGCACTTTCTTAAGAGTCGGCTTTGAAGTTCTTGAAGAGTTAATTTTTCTTCTTTGTCATCCACATCTCTACAACATATTAATTTTTTGTAACGAAAGAAAGTCGTATCTACCAAGAGCCATAAGTCGAAAGTAGATGTTTCCACTTCTTGGGTTGACTCTGACGCTTAATCAAAAGTTTATATATTTGTTCAAGAGGGTATTTTGGGTGGATCCTTATTGGATGTAGGTCCCGCTATAGATTACGGTGTACTGACTCCTAATAAGGACAAGAGAGTATGGCGAATGCGCCATCCGTTCTATGAATAACTCTTCTCGATCCTAGGCCTCTGGTTTCCCTTCAACGACTTTGAAATAGAAGTTTTGAATCATCTAATGCTTACCCATTTGCATCTGCACCCTGCAATTTAGGCGTATATTAAGTCTTCCAGTACTTATGTAAGTATCAAAAGGTAAAACCATCTTTGTCCATTGTTTTCCGTATCTTCAAAGTACAGCGTAGTTCTGTGATTTAGACATAGGGCCTTAGCTTGATTAACCTAGTTCAAATTATTCATAGCTTCAGAATGTTTTTCCGAGGGCCTGGAGCATTTTTCAAAAATCAATTCTTCTTGGTTGCTTCTATCTATAAAAAGGCTCATGCAATAGTGAATACTATATGAGACATGGAATCTGACCCACCCCGACTGCTGCAGTTCTTTCAAACACTTTGAAGTCAATTACTGTTCCTCCTCCCTCATATCTTGTTGTAGGTGTTGGTGTCTTAAATGACCCCTAGAGGTGATTGTGTGCGTCGGGTCCTCCGACTCCTACACTCTTAGCAAAGTTGGGTCCACGTACTCTAAAAGAACATCAGGAGTCTACCTCAAAAAATATTGCTCTTACCTAGACAATATTCTCGACGAGGCTCTTAAGGAGTAATTGTCAAATCTGGCATATTACCTCCCGTGTGCTTTTGCCATTCAGGCTATTGGCGTTGCTGGTCGTTCGGATAACTTCTTTTCTGAATAGGGACAAAAGGAGAAGCAGTTGTTGGAGAATAGTATTTATAACCTGGCGCCTAAGAGATCTTTCTAGCTCCTTCTAGGTCAACATTGATAGTAACTGGATCACCATGAAGATTTTTGAATTTGATTTTGATGTATACTGGTGAGACAATGATGTCAATGGCTGCTGCAAAGGTCTTCCTAGGATGCAATTGTAGGAACTCTTGCATGGGACTATGAGGAACTACGAGTCCATAATCTTGACGTATCTTATGTCACCCACATATATCTTTAAGATTGTATACCCCCACGGGCGAGTGGTTGTTCTGTTTAATGCTTGCAAGTCCGAGCCTTCATATGGTTACAAATTCTCTTTTGTAAGGCCCATCTTCTCAAATAACTCTGAATACATGATATCGCAGGAGTTGTCACCTCAATAAGTATCTGTGACACGTAGAAGGTCCCGACCATGGAGGTTATAACCAGTGGGAAGATTTCACTCAGGACTCCCAACTTTCTTGTTGTCCTAGAACCCAAGCAATGACATATCTAGAGTTTTGGCCATGATGCTTCCATCTTCCTTATTGACGAATATTAGTTAAGCAATTTTACTTTTCATCATCCTCTTTGAAAGTATGTTTTCTGGAGGGCTCCACTATGATGGTCACAATATGCTGACACTTTCTCTTACTGACTCATTTATCCTCATTGTTGGTCATTTCTCTACTAGCCACAACATCCAGAACTTGGACGAGGACTTACTCTTCGATGATTCTTCCCTATTCTCTTGTCGTTTTTGGTATACTATGACAATTCTCCATTCTTTATTAATTCTTTAATTGTATCCTTCAGCTAGATGCATTCGTTTATGGTGTAACCATGGCCCTTGTGGAAGCAGGAGTATTTTTTCTTGTCAATTCTGGAAGTTTACCTAACAAGAAAGAGGTGTGTGATCTTGGCCTTCCAAAATTTCATATTGGCACACTTATGATATATCTTCTCTCTAGAAGTGTTTGAGTCGTGTATTTATCATACCGACCACGGGTTCCACGGTAGCATTCATCTCTCCTTCACTTGGAGTCTTTTTCAGATGAGCATCCCGAACTTGCATTTGTTTTGCCTTGATTGTCGAATCAGGTTTTAAGTTTCTCTTCAAGGTTGATGAAATTTTTTTCTCTACTTAATAGTTATTTCATAATACGGGCCTCCTCCCACCATATCTTCTTCCTGAAGGAGTTATCCTATAACACGTCGTTCTCAAATATCCAACATTTGAAACCCTATTCATCTCCTTCTACTTCCACAACTACTTATCTGAATCGGTCGATGTACATCCGTAAGCTCTATTTATTTCTCTGCATTATCCCAATTAGGGAAAATATTCTCACGGACCGCCTTTTCCGAACTATGAAATAAGAAGTGAAGCTTTCTCACAAGTTGGTCCATGACTCAATGCTCCCATCCGGCAGAGCTTTGGACCAAAGTCTAGCAGATCCCGTCAGAGTTAGTGCAAATATTTTTCACTTACCATCGTGAAGTATTTTATATGCTTATCAATGAGTTATATATGCTCGTAGTGGTCTCCTTTAATTTCGTTTTCTTTCAGCTTGGGAGGCTTCTCTTGTGGCTTCTATATTTGAATGTCCAAGATACGCGCGTAGAAAGGATACTTTGGCGGATTCCTCCTTGATGGTTTTTTAACCTGTTCCTAAGGGGGGGATATGGCTACCTCGATCTCCCCCATGGCTTTGAGGAGGAGTTTTTACGCCTCTTAGATTTCTCATAGTTCAGGGGTTTTGGAGCTTCATCTCTCTGTGATGTGACCAACTTTGGAATGATAGATCAACTTCTTCTAGAAGTGGCTTCTTGCATGGTGTTCACCTTCAGAAGCAGGTTTTGTAAGCTTTATTCTAGATGAAGCAATCATTCTTTTATGCATGCAAGTTTTGTTGTCAAACTATATTATACATACTATTCAACAACTCATTGGTTCCTTGCATTCCAAGTTAGCCTACAACAATTGGAAATCAAACAATATTTTCGACCTTAAGGATGGTGGTGGTGTTGGAGTCCTGAGTGAAGGCTTGCCTTGTGAGAGTTGGTTAGCAGATCCTATGACCTAAGGAGGTTGGAGTAGATGTGAATGCAACACAATGTTTACAACAACTTGATCTATGTTTCCTTAAGGAGGATGAGGCACTTGATTTCTTATGGCTTTAGTGACAACCACATAAACGATTGTTTCGCGTAAAGCGACATAGCGAGTAACTTTAGATCTAGTCATCATTGGAAGGTTTGGAGATCAAGAGTTCGGAAATTCTAAAAAATCACAGTTGATATGTTACCAGAATTGATCGAGTAAAGTGGATCTGACGTTGGATCTTAAGAACTTTGATCGGATAGGTTGAGAGGGCTTCAAATTGATCGAAGTGTGAACATGCAATCATGGAAAATGCGAAAATCAGAAGTCGATTCCCACATATGGCGCTATTGTTTTGTTACGGAGCCAAAAATAATCGAAGAACAGTGGTTGCGATAAAAAAACAGTGTTTTTGAACTTTAGATGCGGTGAAGAAGGGACTGACCTGCATGGTTAACACTTCAACACTCAAATTAGTATGTGAAGGAGAAGAATGAATGAAATTTGAATTTAAAATTATGTACATGAAATTGACGTGCATGCCCTTTCTATAATGGAGCATCTGTAACAACTCGTTATTCTCTAGGCAGATACATGGATGGATGTATATTGGCCCTAGATCTCTTGTGCTCTCCACTGGATAACTCTCCTGTGATGCGAATCATTATTTTATCTGGGTTGCAGCCGATGACCGTTCTGGCCGGTGCAAAACAATCTTTATAATTAATAAGTTGATTAATAGCACAACATTATTTTTATCTTACAAAATAAATTTTATATATTTAAAAAAATATATAGTATTATTATTTTTTATTTTATAAAATTTATTAAGAAAACATTGTTATTCATATAAATATAATGAACAATGTTTGATGTAATTTCAAGTCAAATTGTTGTCTTTGAAAATAATGTAATTACTTCATGTCAAATTGTTTTCTTTGAAAATAAGATAGCTGTAAAAAATAAATATAAGTTCAAAAGAAATGGGACATTTTTATATGTAATATAATAATGAACACATATCTAACACACACAAACCATAGTCTAGAAACCCCTAACAGTAGCTATCAGCCCCTGGTATTTTTCTATTCTTTGGGCGTTTCATTAATCTCTTAACCTTACAGTCTCAAGCTCCCTATATATCACATCCTCTTTCTCTCTTCTTGCTCCACCAACCAAAACACAAGCTACACTACCTAGTAATCCATTTCACCAGCCATCTAAAATCCCACAAAATTACTTAGATTTCAATAATTTATATCATTCAGTATGAGTTCAACAAGCAGAGCATGGGCAGCAGCAGGCAGTGTTGCAGTTGTGGAAGCTTTGAAGGATCAAGGTATATGCAGATGGAATCATACACTAAAGTCACTTCAAAATCATCTCAAAAACAATGTCAGATCGTATTCTCAAGCAAGAAAATTGTCATCTTCTTCTTCTACTATGGTTTCTAATTCTCACAGACAAAAAGAGAAGGCAAAGCAATCAGAGGAATCTTTGAGGACAGTCATGTATTTGAGTTGCTGGGGTCCTAACTAATTAGAGTAGACTCTATGGAACAAGTTTTTAACACGGTTTCCAATAATTAAGGTGTAATTAATATTAAATATATGTGTGGAGAGGTGTCAAATTGAATGAGAAGGATGTAATTATGATGAGTTAATGAAGACATTAAATTGAATTTCTCTCTAATTTCAGATTATTTCTAACTATGCTTTGTATTACCCTTCTTCTTTATTGTTGAATGGACTTAAAAAACAGTAATTTTAATTTGAGGGAAAAAGTAGACTCTTACTCTAAGTTTGAGTTTTTTTATTTTTTATTATTTTATTTTATCTTTGGTTATAGCTTTTGTTAAAATACCTGTCTCGATTTCTAATTTGTGTGTCTACTTGTAGTCTTGAGTATACTTATGTATTTGACTTTGCCATCTATTTTGAGTGAACTTATTTATAATCTTAGTCTTAAGTCTATTTCAAATCATAATCTTGAGTGCACTTAGTCTTATTTAGGTTCCTTGCAAGAATTGGCTTATAATGTATCGAAGAAAAATAAACTTGAATTGTTCCATAAACAATTTCAATTACATGACTTAAAGGTTAGTACTAAAAATATTCCTTCATTGGCGATTTTCAAATTATGAAATTTGTGATAATGATTTGAATGATTATATTTTCCAACATGTCTTATCTAGATATTTTTCCATACTATGTAAGAATATTACTGCGGTTGTTGATTCGGTAAGAATCTAATAATTTGTTAGAATAATCATTGAAAAGTATAAATTAGGCTTAAACTATAAGTGAGGACATGAAAGTATTTGAAAAAATGGTATTTGAGAAACTGTTGAGAGGTAAGGAGGTAAAAAGATAATTATATGTAAATGGATCAATAATATAAAAACAAATTAGATAGTACCTTTAATCATTATATGATTTCACAAATATAACACTACAAAATTCCTCAAGTACGAGGACTTTTCTTTAAAGATGGAGTGTTTAAAACTACTCCCTCATCTTTGAAGTGCGCCCCTCGCCCTATTGTCGGTTTTTTCTATTGAAAATGATTATGTCTAGAGGAGGCGCTCTTTAGAGGCGAGTCTCTTAATGAAGGGCAAGTCTCTCATGTTAGTTTTATTGGAGCAACATTGTATTGGTCAAAAAGTACAAGGTTGTGTGCTTTTTCCTGTAAGGGCAATGAGAATTTGAGGCCTTAGTGGGTGGATAACACGTTTGGGGGTGAGGGCTTGCTCACGACGGCAAGAAGTCATGTACAGTGGTATTCAATACTATTTAAGGTGAGGGGCCTTGTTAGTGGTCGACACTACTTGATTTCAAGTGGGCGGTTAGGTTAGTCGTGTATGTTAAGACGGTAACGAGCGTTATTCTCTTTGAGTTATGGAGAGTGTGTATGACTTAGAGTACGTCTTTTTTCCCTTTGAGGGGGTGAGATATTTATAGAAGGTCCCTCATACATAGGTTTTTACCTCTTTTTATGGTCTTAACTGCTCCCCTCTTACTATAGGAGGTTAGTGACCACCTATCTTTTAAGGGTCAGTGAAGACTCTCTCTTCCTTGACTCTCACGTTTGAGGATGCCATGGGACAAGTCTCTTAGACTCTACATAGACGATACTGTTGTGGGGCGAGGACCCCCTAATCTAGGATTTCACAAATATAACACTACAGAAAATTCTAGTTTTACAAATGTAAAACATATAAAACATTTTATTAATAAAATGAGTGAAGGAAGTTGTAAGACAATTTTACCAATGCTAGAAATGGTGTGTCCTGACTAACCACCATTTGATATGAACCTATGTGAATGACCTATAATATCACATTTCTAAGCGACTGATTGCTACCAATTTCCAGCTATAGGATATGGGCTAGAAGGAGCGGCCCATGGCTGCCACCGTATAGAGGGTTGATTATACGCCCTTGTTACTAATGGTGTGATCGTCCACCTCGACCATCACCACGACCACTATTTATTTCGCCACGGTTTTTGCCTGAACCACTATGTCCACCCTGTCTGCTGGTGTTACTATTGTTGTTACGGCTTACGTGAGTATGAGAAGAAGCAGGAGAGTTGTTTCCCTGGAAAGAAATAAACATAGAGTTATAAGTTTTATGCTATGTGTGTTTTGCCAGTGTTGTTTCTTTCAAGACAACCATATATCGAGCCTTGTAAAAGGGAGGCAGAGTTTTAGAATGACGGATTTGAGATCCAATAGTAGCATATGCATCAGAGAGACCAGAAACAAGTTGAAGCATCATGCATTCGTTTGATACATAATTATAATGATACATGTGCACCATGGTGACCCAGATAATTCTTGTTCTAAATATAGAACACGAGAGTTCTTGTTATCAAAGAAAATGTTAAAGAGATATTCTCACTATTATTGTATGGTAGAGTCAAGTTCAATCATGGTATGGAAAATGTCGATGAATATGTCATAAATCTATTGTAGAACAATGGTATCAAAGCATTCCCATAGGATTCAGTCAGTTTCTTTGAGAGATGGGGAGGAAGAGGTAGGTAGCGTCCTTTTAGGATAGAGGAATAATGTGGTCAAGAACCTTATATGTTTGAGCATGGATTTTGAACAACTCAGACCAGGTATTGTATTGGCTCTTTTCAATATCAAGGGTAATTTTAATAAAGTTTGTAATATTGGTGATAATTAGGGCAAGATGAATGGAAGGAGTGGTGGTTTTGTTAGTGGCTTCGGTTGGTGTTTATTATTGAAGACTGGTTGGACTTGATTCAGACATGATGATGTTGTGAGATAGTAGAACACAAATAAGGAGGTAAGAGATGAAGGTCGACAGCACGGCTGAAGGTACAAGAAAAGAGATATCGGTGGCACGACTGCAAATACAAGAGGAAAGATATCGGAGGCGCAACTAGGTTTCAAGGAGGGAAGAAATAATAGGCTTGTTAAGAAGGATAATCTTGTGATACTATAATAGAATTATGTACTTCATTGTTTCATTGTACAATAATAAGTGTATATAATGATGTTGAGATATGATTGATTCATCAAGATAATATTCTAATCAATATACATAATTTTCTAATCAATATACATAAAGGCATAACTAAATATAAATGATCTAATAATTAATCAAATGAACATTTTTCATTCTAATAATGTGTGAATAAATATTTTTAAATACATAGTTATTTTTAATTAATAATTATTTTGATTCTCAAATATGTGAGACATTGCGATTATGATTTTTAAATGTATTTAAATTACTTGTTTGTATTTTATAGATTAAATTAATTTAATAAAACATACATTTGTATTAAAATAATTAGCAAATGATATATTTAATGATCAAAATTTAATTAAAGAAATATTTAAAGATATGTTTAGAAACCGCACAATGTAACACCCTAATTCAACATCGCATAAATATAAGTTAAATCAGAGTAAATTAAACCATCAATTCATAATTAGGATGTCACATCTTACAAAAGCATGCACGACTGTCCAAAATATATAAAGGATGTATAACACCATCATAGACGAATCGAAACAACACAACATATTGTTAAACTTCAAATGTTATTAAGCAACAAAATGAAATCATAACTTAGAATATAAATAAATTCTTCAACAACAACAATAATCTATATTTTCTCAAACATCAAGAGTTCTTATAACTCCGACAACAAATTAAAATAAACAAAATGAAATTAGAATTCATCCCTCCTAGTGTTACATATCAAAACACAACACCGACTCGAAATAAATGATGAGTAACTTCATCTACTGCAGATCACCTGCATGTTATCCACGTAGAGGTAACATTCAAACAAAATGGATAATATATCATAACTATATAAAAGAATGTATAATAATAAGTAGATAACAATTTATTACGCATAGTCATACATCCTTCATCTCATAACTCCACATCATTTTACCATAATCACTTGGCATATCAAATATACAATATCAACATAATACGACATCAACATACATCATCCACATAACACAAATTCAACATGCATCATCTACATAATACAATATCAAGTTAATAATAATAGTGATATACAAAGAGACTGAGTCTGACTCAACGCATTTGGTACCAACAGGGCATAAGCCCTCATCAATATGCTGAATAGGGCAGCAACAGGGCATAAGCCCTCACCGTAACGCCAATACATGCCAACAACTAGGCATAAGTCCTCACCAGTGAATGCATGCAACACCGATATGCAACAACATAATTATGTCGCTACAGGGCATAAGCCCTCAACATTATGCTATACGGCCAACAACATCATCATTATGCACATACTATACAAAATAGTCATACAACTTCATATTTAAACACGACATTCATTATCAAATATCACACGAAATGCACACAAATGGGCATAAGCCTCCAAAAAATGATCATCCATTGTCAACAAAATCATTTTTATCAGATAGAAAATATTTTTAGCTTTCCGTCGATCCAAACAGTGCGTCTAACGGACACCTGAATCAAAAGTTATGGATTTTCAATGTTTTTCAGAAAAATCTGTTCAGTACACTCGTAACTGGTTACCTCCAGACTGGTAACCGATTACACCCATGTAACCCAAAAATACTTCGCCTATATTTTATAAGGTAATCGGCTACCCCAAATCCGGTAACCGTTTAAACCCTCCAAATTTTGCCTTCCACGCCCAAGTTTACATAGGGTAATTAGTTACCTCCAGAGTGGTAACCGGTTACACCTGGTTCAGTCCCAAAAATATGCAACTTTTTTAAAATACGAATTTCAATTTTCTTAACCCAAAAACCCAATTTTGCAGCCAAAATTAATTTCTTTATTACCGACAACTAGACATACATATTATACAACATTCCTATAAGTTTTATACGGCCAATTGCATCATTTTAACCACAAAAATACCAATAGTTCATCAAACATTCAATCATACAAAAACATAATTTGTAGAACACAAGAATATACAACCATGATAACCTAATCACTACTATAACCCATAATTATGCAGTCCGTTATAGAGTTA